TAAAATTAAAAAAAAAAAAAAAAAAAAAAAGAATGGAAATAACCTAAGGCACCAATAATAAAAGACTGGTTAAAACCATTATCAGGTATCCATATGAAGGCAAATTAGGCAATTACTGAAACAACATCTTAATATAAACAAGTAGAAATGTTTCAAATATAAATTAAAAATGCAAAATAAAAAATATAAAAAGGAATGAGAATCAAAATCTAAAATTACAGTATCATCTCCTTCACAACAGTGCCCAGCACCTAATGTGCGTATATACACGTGTGTGTGTGTATATTTTAATCCTCACCTGAGGGTATTTTCCCACTAATTTTTAGAGACAGTGGAAGGAAGGGAAGAGGGGGAGGGAGAGAAAGAGAGAGAGCATCCTCACTTGGGAGTATTTTCCCATTAATGTTTAGAAAGAGTAGAAGGGAGGGAAGGGGGGAAGAAGGGGAGGGACATGGATTGGTTGCCTCTTGCCTGCAACCGAGGTATGTGCCCTTGACCTCCAGAATCAAACCCTGGTGAACTTCTGGCCCGTGGGCCAATGCTCTAACTACTATGCCGAACCAGCCAGGGCAGCACCTAACACATTACACAGCAGAGACCAGGCACTGAATCTACGTTAAATGAATGGGTGATGAGTCAGGGGTCATCTTTACTGTCTTCTTTAAGTTTTTCTAAACTATCAGAATTATTCCTAATAAACATCTTTACTTAAGAAAAGTTTATGACAGAAGCCTCCTCAGACTGAGACCCCCACCAGGCTGACACACACCATTCTTCTGGAACTGCTCCAGCTCCTCACTGCTCAGCTGCTTGATGGATGCCATCACTGCTCTGAAGGCGCCCTTCAGCCGCTTCCCCAGGATCATGTGATCTGGTTCTGCCCGTAGGCGAATACCATACTTGTTTTTATCTGTAGACAGTGTAACTTTTTGAACATTTAATTCCTATGGTTGGTAGACAAGGTGAAAAAAACACACAAGGGAAATGAAAACATAAGTCCACAAAAAAAATTGCCGGCAAATGTTAACAACAACATTATTCACAGTGACAAAAAGTGGACATCCCCCAACTGTGAGCACAGGTAAAAATGTGGCCTATCCCTACTATGGGCTCTTAGTAAGCAATATGTAGAAATGAAGCACTAATTCATGCTATAACACAAATAGAGTAGAAGATGCCAGATCCAGAAGACCACGTACTACATGATTCTATTTCTATGAAGGGTCCAGAGTAGGCACACCTGGTGACAGAAAACAGGTGTGCAGTTGAGAGCAACAGTGGGATCTTGAGGGGGAAATGGTACATGAATGTTAAAGGATACAGGATATCTTTATGCAATGATGAAAACGTTATAAAATTGTAGTGATTAACTGCACAACTATATAAATTGATACTAAAACCACTGAATTGAATGGTATGAAAAAACCTTTCCTGTCCAGATCAGTCAAAACAGTTGAGCATAAGCTCAACTAAAAACAACTCTTAAAAGAGGTTACATCTCTTCAAGGTAACTTTTGCTCAAGCAATTTCAGAGCATCACAAGGTTAGCCAGGAAGAACCAGTTCATCATAACATTTCACGCCTCCATCATGCTAGTTAAACATCACTAACGCAGCAGGAACTGATGACAGCACAGGAAATACGAAGGAAGCAAATTGTAGAGAAGTGTCAGTTTCCATCACACACACCAGTGATTAAAGTATTCTATTGAAATATATTGTTTTTATCAATATCTGCAAGCATTCATTATAAAACTTTTAACTCTTTACTTTCTAATATTTATCTGGAATTCTCAAGCAATCAAAACCAATATAGATATTAATATTTTCTACAATAATACATCTAAATATCACTGGTAAAAACAATGAGATTTAAAATATGCTGTATTTGTCTTTAAAACATCATGGAATAAAGCTTCTTTGCAGGATAACTGACACTTATTTAGACTCTTGACCTCAAATTTTCACTTCTAGCCACCTGTCCAATGTCCATGCTCTGACTCAGGCAAGGACACACACAGCCTTTTGTTTGTAATGAGAAACCTATATTTCCAACAACAGGAGGAAATTAAATAAATTATGATACAGCCAGAAAGTGAACATTATGCAGAATAAAGTAGATCTTCGTGTGTTCGCATGAGATGCCCTTTGATGCGTGTACAGGTGTATAAAATGCTAGGAACAACCCTTGCAGGAGATAGCTTAGTGAACATCCCTAGGAGGGAGGAGATTCCAAGGAGCAAATGGGATGCAAAAGGACTCACCCTGCACTCTATTGCTAGTGCTTGAACTGTTTACAACCAATGTGTTCACTTGTTACATATATAATTTGAAGGAACAAAGTTATTTTGTTAATTATCAGAAAGTACTTTACAGAAGAGAAGTGGATAAAGGTATAAATAATCCAACTAGGGTAAGGAAATTCACTGACCTTGAAATCATTTTCAAAGAATTACTATAACATTGTGAAAATGCATGATGATTCTTAGCAGAAAGTAAAACTTTATGGATAAATTTATGTATATGAAGATATACAAAATAAAAAGGATAAGTTACACACTCAAAGTGTAGTTCACTGAAGAAGCAAGGAAAGAAGTCTGTTTGGATCTAGAGACAAATCATTTACTTTACCTCAATGATATACTTCTCCAAAGACCTGATATCATTGAGAGCCTCTGGATCTTGATGGATAACCACAATTTCTTTCAAAGGATACTAGGAGGAAAAGACAAGAAAGAATTCACTAAGCAGCCAGAAAAATGGAATGTTAAAGGTTTTATCCTCATGTCAAGTTCCAAGAATAACTAGACTCCACTACTACTAAGTCATTCATACCCATATTGTAGAAATGAAAAAAAAATTTATGCCATTGCTGGAAGCCCTCTATACTAAGAAAATACTTAAAGACATAATTATTTAGGTATGTGCAATGTAAAATAAATAAAATCTCAAACCTTTAATGGAATAGTTTTGCGGTCTCGAATCACTCGCCCAAGTTCAATCACAGACTGCATTCTAGATACTGCACTCTCGATTTTCTTGTCAATCAATTCCTCTCTGATTAGAAGAGGTAGGGATGTAAGAGACATTGGATTGAAAAGAAAAAAGAAATCCCCAACAATAGGCATGCCTACAGGAGGATGGTCAGGTGAACATACGGTGTGCAAGGCCTGCTAGTGAAGCACCTGGGGAAGGACAGCATGCTCTGGCTCTGGGGGCACATGGCAAGGGGAGGAGGCAAGCTGGAGTCTCCTACTCAGTACCCATCAGCCCCCAAGGTGACTCCAACAAACCTGCTCACCCCCCAGGTGCTGCAGCGCTACAGAGGGTTCCACAATGAGCATCCCCACTCCTACCCACTCTGTACCCTGAAGAGCAGCTCAAGTGAGAGGCAGGGCACGAAGGGGTTAGGCCCCCACACGAGGGCATCTCTAGCAACTTCCCTTGCCATGCCCAGGTGAGGCTTACATGTATTTGATTCTTCCTCTTTTTTTTTGGTTAATCCTCAGGCGAGGATATTTTTTCCTTTGCTTTTTAGAGAGTGGGAGGGAGGGAGAAGGAGAGGGAGAGAAACATCGATGTGAGATACACATCGATTGATTGCCTCCTGCATGCATCCTAACCAGGCCTGGGGATTGAACATGGAACCCAAGTACATACCTCTGACCAGGAATTGCACCCACAACCCTTTGGTGCATGGGCCCACATTCTAACCACTGAGCAACACTGGCCAGTGCTGTATTTGATTCTTACCGAACATGGGGCAGCATGAGGTAGTGGATGCTGAGTGTGTCCTTGTCCTGGACAGAAACAGGGTCAATGAGCATCTTCAGGTTCTGATACATCAATTCAGTAAGAAAAGGTGTATACGGGGCCTATATAAGAACAGAAGACATCATGTCATTCATATGCAACCACCATTATCTGATCTCAGAGAAAAGATGGCAATTAAACATTTTAGAGAAAGACACAGATATATGCACAGAAGTGGACATGAGGTTACTAAACATGTCCCACGAAAGAGAGAATACTTAATCTTGACCTTGGCGAGAGGAACTTCCTATGAAGTACAGGAGGGGTACAGCCAGGACACAAAGCATCCTGGAGGATTTCTGTAATAAAAATAAGAGTCACTGGCCTATCTCAAGAAACAAGAAAAACTCCAAGTAAACACCCTAACATTAATCTTAAAGAACCAGAAGAACAGCCGTCCAAAGCAGCAGAAGACAGGAAATAAAACTTAGAGCAGAATGGAATGGAGGAGAGAACTACAATACTATGCAAGAAAGTAATAAAACAAACAACTGGTTCTATGAAAAGATTAATAACATTGACAAACACCTGGCTATACTCACTAAGGAAAAGAGTGAAAAGACTCAAATAAGATAAGAAATTAAAGAGAAGTTACTACATACATACAAAGGATCACACTGAAATACTATAAGACTACTGACCACCAAATTCAATAACCTGAAAGAAATGGATCGATTTCTAGACATATATAATCTTTCTAGCCCTGGCTGGAATGGCTCAGTGTTTAGAGTGTCAGTCCATGCATCACAGGATCACAGGTTAGATTACTGGTCAAGGGCACAAACCTGAGTTGCAGGTTTGATCCCTGGCCCTGGTTGGGATACATGCAGGGGACAGCCAATCGATGTGTCTCTCTCACATCGCTGTTTCTCTCACTCTACTCTCTATCCCACTCCTTCCCTTCTTTCCTTCCACTCTCTCTAAAATTCAATGAAAAAATATACTCAGTTGAAGATTAACAAAAAAACAAAGCACCCCTCCCCCGCCAAACAAGAAGACTCCTAAAAGCAAAAGTCCAGGACCAGATGTCTTCACTAGTGAATTCTACCAAACAGTCAGAGACTTGATGCCTATCCTTCTCAAACTCTTCCAAAAAACTGAAAAAAGAGCCAATATTTCCTAACACATTTTATGAGGCCAACATAAACCCTGACACCAAAACCTGCACGAACACCACNTTTATGAGGCAAAAACCTGATACCAACACCTGCACGGACACCACAAAAAAAGAAAGCTACAACCCAGTATTTCTGATGACTGCAGATGCAAAAATCCTAAACAAGATACTAGCAAATTGAATACAATACATTACAAAAATAATACATCATAATCAAGTGGGATTCACTGCAGGGCCACAAGGATGGTTCAACATACACAAATGACCAATGTGATACACAGTAACAAAATGAAGGACAAAAAGTCCCACGATCATACAACATATGCGGAAAAAGCACCTGACAAGATACAGCATCCACTTATGAGTAATACACTCAATAAAATGGGTAGAGAAGGAAGTACCTTGGTAAAATAAAGGCCAAATCCCTCAGCTAACATCATGCTCAAAGGCGAAAACTGAAAGCTTTTTCTTTAAGATCAGGAACAATACGAGTATGTCCACTCTCACCACTCTTACTCAACATAGTACTGGAAGTCCCAGCCAGAACAATAGGCAAGAGAAAAAAATAAAAGGCATCCAAATGGGGAAGGAAGAAGTAAAACTGTTACCTTTTGCAGATGACCGATTCTGCATATGGAAAACCCTAAAGACTCCACCAAAAAATCAGTAGAAACAATAAACAAATACAGTGAAGTTACAGGAAAAAACCCTAATATGTTAACAATAAAATTTCAAAAAACCCCTAATAAAATAAAAAGAACAACAACAAAAAACCCCAATTCCTTTTGCAACTGCAACAAAAAGAATAGAATATCTGGGAATAAACTTAACAAAGGATGTGAAGGACCTACCTGTACACTGAAAACTGCAAGACATTATTATTATTATTATTATTTTTTTTTTTAAAGAGAGGCTTTTTTTTTTTTTAATATCCTTATTGATTTCAGAGAAAGGAAGGGAGAGGGAGAGGGAGAGAGACAGAAACATCAATGATGAGAGAGTCATTGATTGGCTGCAGCCCACAACCCGGGTATGTGCCCTGACCGGAAATCGAACCCTGATCGCCTGGATCCTAGGTCGACGCTCAACCGCTGAGCCACGCCTGGCTGGGCTTTTTTTTTTTTTTTTTTAAAGAACCTATAAACCTGAGTGGGTTCCTTCTGTTTTTTTTGGTTTTTTTTTTAAAATATATCTTTATTGATTTCAGAGAGAGGAAAGGAGAGGGAGAGAGAGAGCTAGAAACATCAATGATGAGAGAGTCATTGATCGGCCACAGCCCGCAACCTGGGCATGTGCCCTGACCGGGAATTGAACCCTGATCGCCTGGATCCTAGGTCGACACTTAACTGCTGAGCCACGCCCGGCCGGGCACTGCAAGACATTATTAAGAGACTGAAAACGACACAAGAAAATGGAAAGGTATTCCATATGGCTTGGAAGAATCACCATAGTTATAATGGACATACTACCCAAAAGCAATATACAGATTTAATGTAACCCCATCAAAACACCAATGAGATATTAAAATGAAACAGAACACAAAATCATCATATTTGTATTGAACCACAAAAGACCCCAAACACTAAAAACAATCCTGAGAAAAAAGAACAAAACTGAAGGTATCACATTCCCTGACTTCAAAATATACTACAAAGCAACAATAATTAAAACAGCATGGTACTGGCAGAAAAACAGACACACAAGCCAACAGAACTGAAAGCCAAGCCCAGGAACAATCCCACATGAGTATGGGCAAGTAATTTTTGACAAAGGAGAAAAGACTCTTCAATAAATGGTGCGGGGGACATTGGAAAGTCATATAAAAAAGAATGAAACTAGGGTTTAACCATACATACTAAAACACAGGCACTAAACTTTATGGACCTTGGTCTTAGAGAATTTTATAAATTTGACCCCAAAAGCAAGGGAAGTAATAGCAAAAATAAATGAATGGGACTATATCAAACTAAAAACTAGCTTCTGCACAGCAAAAGACACCATGAACAAAACAAAAGAGAAACCAACCAGATGGGAGATATTTGCAAACGACAGCTCTGACAGGGGTTAATATCCAAAGTATATAAAGAACTCATACATTGTACAAATAATCCAATTAAAAAATGGGCAGAGGACCTGAACAGACACCTCTCCCAAGAAGGCATACAGCACGGCCGGGCATGGCTCAGCGGTTGAGCGTCGACCTGGGATCCAGGCGATCAGGGTTCGATTCCCGGTCAGGGCACATGCCCAGGTTGCGGTCTAGGCAGCCCCATCAATGACTCTCTCATCATTGATGTTTCTATCTCTCTCTCTCCCTCTCCTTTCCTCTCTCTAAAATCAATAAATATATATTAAAAAAAGAAGAAGAAAAAAAAAGGCAAACAAATGGCCAACAGAGATATGAAAAGATGCTCAACTTCACTAGCTATTAGGGAAATGCAAATCAAAATGACAATGAGATACCACTTCATACTGTTAAGAATGGCTACTATCAACAAGACAGGTAATAACAAGTGTTGGAGAGGTTGTGGAGAAAAGGGAGCCCTCATTCACTGCTGGTGTGAATGTAGACTGGTACAGCCACTATGGAAAGCAGTCTCGCAGTTCCCCAAAGTATTAAGAATAGAGCTACCATATGATTCAGCAACCCCTCTTCTGGGTATCTACCAGAAAAATTTAAAAACATTTATTTGCAAAGATATATGTGCCCCTATGTTCACTGCAGCGTTATTCACAATGGACAAGACATGGAAACAGCCTAAGTGTCCTTCAATAGAGGACTGGCTAAAGATGATGTGGGACATGTACACAATGGAATACTACTCAGCCATAGGATGAAAGACTGTCATTTGCAATAACATGGATGGATCTTGAGAGTATCGTGGAAGCAAAATTAAGTTAGGCAGAAAAAGCTAAAAACCATATGATTTCACTCATATGTGGGCTATAAAACTGAAAACAACAAAGAACAAACAAGAAAAACAAAAACTCATAGACACAGACAATAGTACAGCTATTACCAGAGGGAAGGGGTGATAAAGCTTAACGGGGATGAAATACATGGTGACAGAAGATTTGACTGGATGGTGGGCACAGTGTAATATACAGATGATGCATCATTAGAATTGTACACTGTCTGAAACCTATATAATTTTATTAACCAATAATTTTATTAACCATTGTCACCTCAGTAAATTTAATTTAAAAAACAAACAAAAACAGGAGTCACTGACCATGTGCCAGCAAAGTCAATATCCCTAAAACTCAGAAACCTCATTTGTAAACTGAGGGAACACAACCTGATTCACAGGATAAAAATGAATGACAGATGTGAGGAACCAGGCATAGGACCTGAAACAAAGCAGGTTCTCATTCTGTGTATGTTTAGGGAATGTACAGAAGGCTTATAATTTACAATGGAGTAGCAGAAATAGGATACGAGGAATTAAAACAAGTAAAAATTTTACTTGTAAGTTATTTAATATTTCAATCGGTAGAAACATGTTTCAAGTAAAATACTGTTTGTATTACGTTTGGTTAGAGATAGTACACGAGCGTCACTGTTACAATGAGGGATTCCACATGAGGATGAGGTATGATGTTCGAGGAACTGTGGCAATTCAATTTAGATGCAAGAACCATGACCTGAAATATGCTATCGGTCGTGAAAAGAAAAAAATCCAGCTTTTTAAAAACAGTATTAACTTTCTCCCCCATTTATATATTTCTATCACCATTTATCCCCCTATACCCTCTTCTACCCCCTGGCCCCCTTTTCCTGCAATCACCAGAAAGATCTAGCTTTTGAAACTAATGTAATGAGATTTCTAGTATGATTTCTGAAAAGGAACTCGAGATTTAAGTTGTTTAAAACTCAAATTTTCTATTTCTGGTGGACCAAATACAGAATAGATACAGAGGACACTGAAGCAACGGGGCACTGCG